ATCGATTTTTTCACAAGGATCGTCAATAAAAGGCTTGAGATGTTGTGTTTTGAACCTCACAGAAGTACTGCTCCTGCTCCGCACATTGAAAGGCGAATGTGTCGTGGTGCTTGTGAGCTGAAGCTACAGTGCTAATGCGCGCAGAACTTTGATATGAGCATAATAACCAGGCAACACCAGGTTTTGTGTAGCCTCGTGGGTGTTGCGAACACTTCCACTCCAAAGATTTTCCCCCTTTGAGTATGACTTTTTCATTATACTGCTCAAGTAGAAATAAAATTAAGTCGTATTTGGATTGGCAAGAAATACTACTTTGGCTGCGTTCCAACTCACGCCCCTTCATATCCCTCATCCTTTGCAGGGATCACGATCTATTCAATAGATAACGTTGTCACCAATAATTGTCGCTCTCTCAGATGGTATTATATCCTCCGTATTAAATAAAGTTCCGAAAGATCCACGCCTGGAAGTGTGAAACAGCTGTCCAGCTGAATTTTAGACGTTTTTCGGTAGCAGACGGGTGGACATCAGGAAATCGTTGAAAAGGACATTCTATTTACCCAGCAAGGAAATGTGACCCTAATGGGTCACCTGCGGTGGGGTCCTGTGCTTTGGATGAACGGAACCTGTGACATTGGTCCAATAACAGCATCAAAAGAGTACCGACTCCCATATCCGTAGTAGGGACGAGTAGCATGTCAGAGATAAGATAAAATCTTTGTTCTTCTTGACAGGAGTCCGTCAGACAGTGGGCGTTAGCATGGGAGCAAATGTTTTTAGTGTCATTTTATATGATGTACTGTTGGGTACCGATACTGAAGGACTTCTCAGAAATTTTTTGTTCCACTTTACAGTACCCAGCAAGGAGCATAAGAATTCGATAATTGGAAAAGAAATCAGGGTTGCCAGTTTTCCTCAGCAAATTATTCAAGAACCGTATTAAACCTATGGAAAGGAACTGACCATCCAATTGAACTGCCAACCGCTCCTATTCGTGGCAGTGCAATCATTCATTGGATGCAACCAGTTCTCATTTTCGCAGAGCCAATGATGGATCGCTTTTCGACAGCCTTGGTCGGACGAGACTCGCCAGGTGCCGGACACCTACTGCGAGCCAGGTGGCAGATGGTGGCGAGAATGATCCTCATTCTAAACTGCTACCTCTGAAGTATGCGCAAACAGTTTTGGCCGTTGGACTTACTCATCCTTGCTCTCGAATCTTCTTTATAGCCCTTTCCAGAATTTATTTGAGCGCGATACTATGAGGAAAGTTAGTCAGCCTTTCCTTCGTTTTTCTGCGATCCTTGAAGCATTTCAAGAAAATAGGAGGAAGAGTTGGAAAAATTCTCTACATGTACTGTAGAGGTTTTAAGATTGAGCCTTTCTCACGAGAGACCATTGAGCTGATCCTTTTTGGCGGTGGCGGGTCGGAATTTATGGGTGCCAAACGACAGATGGTCAGCTGCCTTGCCATGCCCTTCAGCTGTAACCAGAGCCCTTGAAAGGAAGGCCATAGACGCTGCACTTCATTGAGAAATTCCTCCGACTCACTGTCACTTAATCACTAGCGATCTGTACGCTCGACCTTTTGATCGCTATTCACTTCGATGGACACGGACGGCTATGCGGGAGCGCAAAAAGAAGGCGATTTGTTGCAAAATGTGTCGGTTAGAGCCACCTGAATGAAGATAAAAAATGAACGGAAAAGCGTAGAGCAACGAATGCCGATGACGATACTATGCAAAAGCAAAAGGAGAAAGAACTTCCACTATCTCAGTTTTAAGAATGTTTTGCAAAACTGTTGCACTTCCAGCTAAACTCTAGTTCGCTGTGGACGGAGCGCGCATGCGGCAAAAAGTGGTAGAAAACGAGTAATACGAACGATATGATACAGTCATATCATTTGCTCGCTTTAACAACTGGTGGAGAACGGGTTTGGCACCGCGCCAAACTCATCCCGCCTGACACGCCCAACCGTCCGCAGCTAACTGCTCACTGTATGACGAGTGGTTTACGAAGAGGTGTTAGAGCTAATACTGATAGCTCCTATTGTTAATGCATCACCAGTACTCGATATGCTTATCTGAACAATTTGTCAGACAACCACCTTGACATCAGCGGGCTCTGCGATGGCAGGGGACTAACGTCAGGGAGAAGAAGCACCAGCTTAGTATGTGGCATTCTCGAAATTCCGTGCAAATAAGGAACTTTGCGGCGGGATCGGCCTTTCGTATTGAAGTCAGCGCCTTCAGAAGGCCACATCTTCTGCTCATTGAAATAAACTTTCACCTAAAAGTGTATGTTGACATAGAGTCAATAGCTTCCGCTTTTTTTTCCGCTTCACTCTTCGGCGCTTACTTGGAGCAGTAGCTACGCGTGTTGTTCCCATCGATAATGTTACGGGTTTGAGTTCCGCATTGGGCAGTCGAAGCTAAATCGTTCAGTCACCGAAATGGAACCAGACCTGTGTCGGAAGACTAATTGTCAACTTCCATTAGATGTCAATTGACCCTAGTAAGTCGGGATAGAGGCGGGTGCAGTCGAATTCGCCTTTGTAGATTATACGGAGGTTCATTCTCATTCCCTTATCTCGGAAATGGTGAAGGCGTGGCTGCGTACCTCATTCGAACATAGCCGTAGGATTTGTTTCGCGTGGGATGACTGCCAATGGAGACAGCTGCCATCTTATTTAACAGAGGCAGGTTTATTGCTTTATAACTAAGATATCCCGCCAGAAGCGTGGCCTCTGCCAGGTCAAACAAAGCACGCAATCGCGCCCTCTCAATCTCCGGCAATCGAGTGTACGTTCATAACTGTAGAACGAGTGCGCGCGTCGCATTCCTGAACACTTCACCAAACCTATATTTGACTCCTATCCTTTGGAGCTTTTTACAACATGGGATATAAGATGCGAGGTCTGAATCACTACCTCATTTCAGATTTTAGATTTTACAAAATTAAGAGAACAGGTAAGTATACTCGAAATCCCTGAGATCGGGTAGGCGTGGCCGCCTGTTTCAACCTAACCTGAAGGTGTCTGTACTTTCTGGTGAGATATTTTCATCTTGACACAATTGTTGTCGTCTCTCTGCCCAACACAGAACAAGATGACGGTTGTCCCGGACTGGAATATACCACGGGTAACCAGTTCCGTGCCATGTTCAAATGCCACGCCTACTCTGGCTCAGGGATAAGGAGTGTACTGATGATGACGCCGAAAACTCACGGAGAGTTTTCAGAATGTGGATTCTAGAAAGAAGTAGAGAGTAATAGTGAGACTCCCATACTTGATAACTGCGCGTTTACATAAAAAGCCAAAGGCCACAGGTTACAACTACCATAACTCCACAGTCATGTTCGCCTGCGGATGCTGGGGGCGTGTCAGGAGAGAGAAGAGCAAACGAGAAAGATGCAAAGAAGAAAGAAGAAAGAGAAAGAGAAAAAGAGAGAGGGGGGGGAAGCGAGCTATGGTCTACTGGAGCGTCAGTTCCGTGTCTTCACCAAAATGTTTGTCGTACACACCCTAATGCCTAAACAACTGGAAGAGACTGGGCTGGCGGCGCGCCAAACCTAGCCTCTGATGCTCCTGCATCCGTAGCGACTGTGATGATTCTGGTCTCCTTCGTTGAAAAAAGCACTGGAGAAAGTCCCTACAGATGCCGCATTCTAATGTCAACAGCATTGTGGCCACCAGATCTAGATTAAGGTGAAAGAGAACAATGAACCGGAACGATTGGTCCCCATTCGCGCTCACCTAAGCAAATTTTCTCAGAATTCTTCAGCCTCTTCACCTAAATCTCAAACTCGTAATCGCGGACGACTCGTATACCTAAAAGTGTGCAGGAGGAAATGATGAGCATGGGCGGCAGACGTCGGAGAAGTTCTGAAGAAAACGAAGAACATTCGGCTCAATGTCCATCTCTTTGATATTGCCGTTTTTCCCACTGTAACCTGAGCCTCGAGAGCCTGCTCTCCGCGCGGGCGGAATGATCCCTGACAAAGAATTGAAAACAGTGGCCAGCAAAGTTATACTGCCAAATAATTCTCTTTACTTCCGTTACCTTTTTT